GTATTTAGGATTTTAAATAAATAAAATTATACGAGATGATAATATTAATGCATTATGGGCAAGCAGCCCAACTGGCTAAGTTGCTAGACCTTGTCCGTGTTCGACCCCGAGAACGGCGGTTCGAAACCCGGTAACCATGATTTTTTTATCTCGTTTTAGTGCAGAGAAGGGGGAAGGGCAGTTTGGTAAATGCTCAAAAGAGCGGTGGCAGGGGCGCGTAGTAACTAGGAAACCCTAGGGTTAAATCGGTCTTTATCGGGTGGGTATAAATCCATCTTTTTGGACGAAAAAACAAACCCTAATCCATTCTACCCTAAACGGCCGCCTCCACTCCCCTCTCTCTCTCTGCCTCTCGGCTCTTCTTCTCTCTTCTCCCTCAGAGAAAAAACGGAACCCTAATCAAAACCTAACTCTCTCCCACTCTCCTCTCTCACTCGCCTGCCTATCGCCCCTCTCGTCCTAGACCAAACGAAACCCTATCCCCACTAAGCGCCGCTCTCTCTTCTCCCATGGCAAAACCGAAATGCAGAAAGAAAAACCAGACGAACCAAATCTCAAATCGCTCTTCCCTCTGTTTCTCCCTTCCAATCCTATCTCCGACTTGCTCTCTTTCTCGTCTCACCCAAAACACCATCTCTCCTCCTCTTTATCGAGACGAGTAGAGGGCCCGACGACAGGCAGATCGACGGCTACTGTAACCAGGTGGTCGCCGGCGAGGACAACGACGAAAGTAAGCTCTCTTTAATAGATTGCATGTTGATTTTAAGGTTCGATTTTAGTCTTTAGGATTCTCATCTGTCTTTTTGTTGCAGGTTTCGAACTAGGAGATTGGGTGGAGATGGGAGAGGAGCAAAACAAATTAAACGAAAGAGGGTCACTATCGACGAACACTGGCACGGCGGATAGGTGAGGTTTTGTTTATGTCTTAGGTTGGATTTTTTATTATGTATCTCTTTTGGTTAAGACTCTGATGAATCTTGTTTTTTTTTTTTTGGGTTATGGACCAGGGAAGGAGAAGGCCGCCGCCGACAGTCCTGGTTTTACCGGCACTGAGGACAACGAGGATGCCTCCTAATTTCGGTTGTCGCGGGTCGGAGGGGAACTCGCCGGCGACAGACGCAACAAGGTAGGTTTTTTGGTAAGCTTTTGGATCCGGTGGAAACTGGAATCTATAAGGTGGGTTTTGATTTTCGGTTTTGTCCTTTTCTTTTGCTTCGAACGAGTCTATCACTAACCCATTCGGTTTCTTGTAGGTTTGGGAATCAGAATTGAGATGAACAACTAACTTGCTAAAAATTCAATGTTAGTATTTTTGAATTGCACGCATAGTTGTACTTCGGTTTGATCAATATTGATTTATCGGTTTGGATGTTTCGATGATCTAGGGTAAAATGTTTTAAAGTCTCAAAAGGTTGATTTGGTTAAAGTTTCCTGAATTGGTTAAAACGAAGAAAATGGAAAGTGGGTAAATTAACATTTTTATCGACTGTAAACACTTTTATTGCTTGATTAGGGAATCTCAATATTGTGTTTTCATGGTGTGTCTGATCTGGCAGTTCAAGGTTGTATTAATAGTAGGCTGTGGTAAAATGATGATCTTAGTTAAAAGACAGACTCTATATAGCTAAAGAACTCAGTTAGTTTATGGAGTTCATGTTAATAAATACTAGCTGTAAATAGCTTATAGGAAAAAGCAGAGTAGATGGGTAGAAAGATTAAAAGGAACAAATCTAAACACACGAAAATGATAACTGGGGTAGGTATGGCTGGTTTACGATAATTGGGGTTTGATACTAGCCTTGATTGTTTGTGGTGGTTCAAACCATATGGTTTTTGTTGTGTTTAGGGTGTTAGCTTAGTTGTATATGTGGTGGAATGCCAAGTAAAACGACTACAACGAAACATATAAACGAAGCATGTATCTTCTTACCTTTAATATGCTTACCCAATGAAAATATTAAAATGACAAGAAGAGACAGATATAGACAAGAAGTAGCAAACCTTAAAAGGAAAGCAATAAATCTGATTCCGTTGCTTGCTTGGTATTATTGTCATCTTTTATTTTGATCGGGGTTAATTTGAGTTGTATTACTTTAGAGTTCTAGGTCAGCTTGTATTTGTATGGAATGATTAAGTTTACTTGAGTTTATAGAAAGAACTTAGCATAATATGGATCATGGATGATGGTTTATGATTAAGTGGCTACCAACCTTTTCCTTTTGGTTGAGTGATGATTCTACCTCTCCTAGCTTCTCGGAGCTTGCTGCCTCCTTATCTGCTTCCTTCTATTGTTCTTGTTTTTGTGATGTTGTGGTGTGCTTGTAAGCAAGAAGGTAGTATGTATTGAAGAAGTAGAGTTTTTGCTGCCAAGCTGATCTGGCAGCCTAGGTTTTTTGCTCCTTTGGGGTTTCCTTTAACTTCTGTATGTGTGGGTTTTGAGTATCGAAGAAAAGAAGTGAGGGAGATATTTGCAGAATTTTTGTGTATCTAACTATTGTTGTGTTTAAGGAGAGGGAAGTGCAGGGGAGAAGAAGAAAAGGAAGTGGATCCTCGTGGGTGAGAAGAAGAGGATCAATCTGGTTTCCCTCTTGGTGGAGAAGGGAAGGAGAAGAAGAAATGATACAAGCACGTTTAGAGGAGGGAAGGAAGTATCAGGAAGAAGTCTTTGTTTTGAGGGAGCATAGGAATCTGGAAGAGGAAGAAGAAGAATTTCCCCTGTCTCTCCCCATCTCTTTTTTTTTTGGCAGAAATTCATCTGTGTAAAGAAGAAGAGAGGAAGAAGGAGCTCTCCTTTCCTCTGTTTTTTTCTCGTTTGGATGAAGTAGGAGAGGCGATGTTGTGGAAGGACAAGGGAAATGGGTAGGCCTCCTTTCGTTGTTTTTTCTTTCTCCTATCTGCCTGGTGTGTATGAAACACGAAGAGGAAGGCAGAAGAAGCTCCCCTCTTGTTTTCTGTTCTATGGGTCCTTTTTATAGGAAAAGTCAACTTGTTCCCCAAGTTAGCATTAGTGTCTGGGTTAGGTCGGACCGGTCTGGTTTAGGTTGGACCGGTCTGGATTTAATGTCGGTTTTGACTTCTGTTGACCTGGGTTTGGGTCAGAATTGGATGGGTTTGACTATTGTTTGACTTGGATTTGGGCTTGACAGACACTTTTATTTAATACCAGCAATTGTAATTAGTTGAAGAGTAACACTTATTTGGTAATTGTTCTTGTAATGATAATTGTAATTATATAGTAATGTTTATTTAGTTCCAACTTAATTTAATAAGATTGTTATTTATTGTTCTTTATTCGACTCTTCTTTTTATTGCTTCAAAATCAAAGGACAAATCTAACCCATTCCAAAATCTTAAGAACCAATTCAAAGATCAACTCAAAACTGCTAAATTGCCTACATTGTCGAATTAAAGCAAACCAACTCAACTCACTATCAGTTGTATTGATCAAGATTTTTATTGTTTAATCTCGTCAAGTTATAGCAAACGCGATCATATCTCAAGCACTATCAATACGTTTTAGGTTGAAGATCAATTAAGATTTGCTATTGCAAACTTTAGACAAAACAATAAAAATTATTTAATTAAATATATGTTCTAGCCCGGACAAAAAGTGGTGTCTACACATTAGTTTATTGTTAAATTTTTTTCTTTTTAGCAATAAAAAGGAGTATTGTTTTTGCCTTTTCATATATATTTTACCACCACGGAGAAATAAAAGGACTTAAAAGAAAAAAATTGACACTCCTGGACCCGTTTAAATCCGCATGTGTACGTTAAGTTGGCCCGTTCCATAGAGGAAAAAGAAAAAAATTGATACTCCCTATTCTACCCTTCCTACAAACGCTCCTGGAGCAGGAAATTTGAAATGGGGAAGAGTTTTTTCCTCTCTGCGATTATATATTTTTAATTTAAAAAGATACAACAAATGTACTTAGTGTGATTGGTTATGATCTTTGCTTTTCTTTAAAGTGGTCATGGTTCGAATCCTAGTAAGTGTCTTTTTAATGAATAAAAAAAAAGTAATTGTGAAGACCAAAATGTTCTTCCTACTTTCACTCTGGATGCAGAAAATTTGAAATGGGGCTTCAAGTTTTCTCATTTGGCTTTTATTTATTGTGTAGATTTAATTGGGAGGTTAGAATCTCTCATGTGTTTTGAGGGAGTGTAATTTTGTTGCTGATTTCTTTGCTAGGAAGGGTCATGAGGTTCCCTTTGGCACACATTCGTTCGATGAGTGCGACCCTGATTTTCGATATTGGCTGTTGTACGATATTATGGGGATTACCCAACCTCGTTCTTTCATTAATATGATTTAGAACGCCTGTGCATTTGTCTTTCTACCCAAAAAAAGTTCTAATTTAATTTATTGTTTGAAAGATTTTTTTTCAACTCGGAATCATTACTAAATAGTAAATTCTTCTTAGAAAGTCGACTTCCATAAACCAAAACCATCATAAATTACAAGTTTGGTCACTGCATTTACTAAAGAGTGTCATGTTTAGTCACTAGAAATATTTTATTTCAATGTTTGTCACTCGAATTAGTCAAACAATCCACATTTGGTCACTCTATGCTAGTCTCTGTCAATTCCCGTTAACACAGTCAATAATTGCTGACAGAAGTGCTAACTCGCCCTATTTTAACCCGCCACATCACCAAACTCGACCCGCCATGTCATATTATTCAACCGAACCCAACCCATGATCAGACCCTGCCTTATTGAGCCGCCCCACCTCCTCCCTTTCCAACTGTCATAAAAAAAACTCTCACGCGCCATTGTCGCCCAAAATAGCTTCCTCCCTATTCTCCGACCGCCGGAATCTTGAAAACTCTAAACCAACAAAACGGCCACCAATCTCCTTCCCCTCAGGCCCGCCGTAGTGTACGCCTCGTCCAATCCGGACATACAACCGCCGGAGGCTTCCCCCCTCATCCCCTCGTCCTAGCCGAAATGGTGGTCCCCGCTCTTTGGTTGGTCCTCTGAGCAGGACTACGTTGGGATGCCAGCGAGTCAGCCGTCGGTCGATCATGACGAGAATCATGCGAATCTGGAGGCAAAACAGGCCAGATCTCGATTCTCTACAAATTGCTTCACCGTGGAGAAGGCCAATCATCTCCGTATGCTGACCTCAGGGATGTCATCGCACAACGACGCGATGTACCTCTTCGTCATTGCCTCGTCCTCTTTTTAGAAACAAAGTGTTAGTATCTTAATGGGTTAATACCTTAGTTTGCCATGAACTATACACATACTTTCTACTTTGGCCCGTGGTATTGAAAATTGCTATTCTGGCCTGAACTATGTAGCAAACTTCCTTATTTGGCCCGGAGGCGGGTTTGACCGTCAGTCAATGTCCACCTCACTTGCCACGTCAGCTTTGAGGACATACAAATTTTTTTCTTCTGAATTTTATTTTCTTTCGATTAATAAAAATAATCAATCAAAAAAATTATTTAAAAGAACGAAAAAAGTGCCCATTTTTAGCAAATGGCAAGAAAACAAAATTCAGAAATAAAAAAAATATTTTTTATGTCTTCAAAGCTGACGTGGCAGGTGAGGTTGACATTGACTAACGGTCAACAAGTTTGACCATCTAATTTAACGGTCAAACCCGCCTTCGGGTCAAATGAGGAAGTTTGCTACATAGTTCAGGCTAGAATAGCAATTTTCAATACCACGGATCAAAGTAGAAAGTATGTGTATAGTTCGGGCCAAACTAAGGTATTAACCCTATCTTAATTATCAATAGTATATGGTTTGATTCCATCGACAACTTTTAGAGGAAATAGAATATTGTAGTAAATTCTCGCGATCTGCCTTTCTTTTTTTCTCAATGGATAGAGGCAATTGTTCAATTTTCCTCAATATAACTTGACATGACATTATACGAATCTTGTACAAAGAAAATATAACTGCAATATAATACGAAACAACTCGTGTAATATATATACAAAATTCTTGGGCTCACAGAATGAAACAATAGATCTTGTTTCTCAAGTAAACCTAAACCAATAAACAAATCCCCCCTGGAAGGAAAACAGAAACAATAAAGAAGTACAGCATGCCATTCATGCCTTCCGACTCTTTACAACATTGTGTGTGTATCACGTATATGATTTGTCATGTTCTATTAATTCCTTTTGCCTCCACACGACGCCGTCCCCAGCATCAGCCGAATGCCGAACTCCCCCAAAAGAATCCAAACGAATTAAACCCAAAAGCCAGAGAGAATGAATCGTCAGCAATCTAACGAATACGACTCAGCAAAAAAAATCGGTCGAGTTTGACCGGGTCGGGTCACTGGTGGGTGCCCGTGGTAAAGCTGTGACCCACTCCCGGGCTGGGTCCGGAGTTCTTCATTCCTCCCAGCGCCTCCGCGTTGCTGAACGAATGCCCCACGCCGGGGCTCGGCCCCGACACCATCATCGCTCCCAGCGCCAGCCCGTCGAAGAATCGTTCGATCGCGCACCCAGCTGCCTGCGCCGTCTCCGAATCCATGATGCTGAACGGCCGGCCGGCTTCTGCGAACACGACGGAGAGCGCCAACGCAAAGAAGATTGCGTACCGGAGCGATTTGAACGTAGATGCCATCTGGGTTGCCGTCAAAATTTCTCCTTTTTTGTCGGAGTGGATTGCAGAGAAGGAAAAAGCTCTGTTTTTTTTTCCGGGAAGAAGGGAGGCAGAGGAGGGTTTGGTGGGTTAGTTGATGGACAGAAAAGTTGGTGACTTTGTGGGGAGAGAGGGAGGAATATATAAGGGCTGGTTTGGTGGGGGGAAAGTTTGAATAAAAGTACAAGAATTGAGGAAGTTGTTCTTCATTGGCATACAGAATTGTTCAAAGGACAAACGTAATACGGTGCGTGTTTTATCAACACCATCGTGCGACGGGGAAAAAAGAAAGTAAGAAGAAGAAAACATTGGGCAGTGTGGCTTTGATGAAACTGTGGCGCGGGGGAAAGATGAAAGTTGGGAACCAACGAGGGAGCTTCTTTGGGCCATGGTGACGCAATTTGGGAGTAGAGGGGTAAGTAATGTGGGGATTGAAAACGGGGTAACAACGCATAAAATTCATTTGGAAGTCGTATATTTAGACTAAACACAATTTTCTGACTTGGAGATAGGAATGTAATTTGTGGGTTCCATCAGGATCAAGTGTTGGGGAAAAGTGTAACGAAGAAATATAGTTCTCTCAACTTTGAAATATAGGTAAAATTATAAGTAAAATTCGTAACAAATTTAAGATATAAAATAGTCGATAAGTTCTTAGACTCTTAGTCCCCCTCCCCCAAATATTGTGGTTCAAGTCAGGCCCCCTCATTTGAATTTCAAGCTCCTGCACGGGAAAAGTCAAATTCAAAGTTACATTTTTACTTAATTCTCGCTTATTCATGCAGATTCACTTATAATTACGCATGCAACCTAATTCTTATGTACTATGATCATTATCGACTTACTTAATATACTATATAATTGGAGTGTGCTTAAAAAAAATAGATTCCGTATGTAAATATAAAGGGTTATAGGTATAATATGACACACTATTATGTCGTTTTATCAAACATGGTGCTGTATTATTTTTTATATCAAACATATGCTCTTGTATTTTGTAAAAATGATCAAACGTATCGTTGTGTTAAATTTTCATCCAAAAACCGTTAACCATGCCTGAACTTTAACTTGAGCGACACAAATGTCTAAAATATCTCCAATAATTTCACTTTAGAATTTTTTGTTTGTTTTGTACAGCCAAATAATTCTTATAATTTCACTTTGATTGGACCCAAAGACGCATTTCGCAAAAGAAACGTGTTTATTTTAAATGGACGTGTACACAGTGCATAGCGAAATAGTACGGATGAGAGTGGGTGGGTTGACTTAAACCCATTCCATTCCATTATCATTTTCAATCATTACTAGTATAAGCTCGCTCGTTGTCGCTTCGTGTGTAAGTGAAAACGTTATATTTTAAAAATTAATAGTTTGAATTTTGATCCAAAAGTAAAGGTTTATCATCTACAACTCCATGTAGACGACGCAAAGATACTTTAATAAGGGAGGCCGGTCGTAGAGCAAATGATTTCTATGTTTAATCTTCTCTCATAAACTACTTATTAGTGTATTCTTTTTGCTTTGTTTTTTTTTTTAAGTTCATCTTGATTCTCCTTTTTATGGAGTTTCGGGACTGATCGTAGGTTTGAGAAGGTCCAACTCACTTTGGCCCGTTCGAATTAGGTTGAATAGCCATGAATTTGGGTTCAATTTTATTCTCAAACAAAAAGAAAAAAAAGAAATTAACAAACACTAAAGAGGATAAAACTTGCTCACGATCCAAAACTCGACAACATCAAGTTCAACTCTCTTTGATCGGATTGAACCGGATTTGTAATAAATTCACAACCGACCTGACCCATCACTTTAGCCGGATCGAATTAGGTTGGATACCCATGAATTTGGGTTCAATTTCATTCTCAACCAGAAAGAAAAAGAGAAATTATCAAACACTAAAGCGGATAAAACTCGCTCGCGATCCAAAACTCGGCAACACCATGTTCAACTCTCTTTGATCGGGTTGAACCGAGTTTGTAATAAATTCAAAACCGACCTGACCCATCAATTACAAAAGAGAATAAAACTCACTCCCGCCCGGAAACTTGTAAACATCGGCTTCAAGTTGTTTTGATTATATTGAATAGGTTGGATATCCGTAGGTTTGGGTGCTCAACCAAAAGGGAAAAGATAAATAAAAAACACAAAAGCGGATAAAACTTGCTCCATACCAAAAACTTTACACACGGAGCGCAACTCGCCTTGACTGGTTCGAACCAAGTTTTTAACAATTCACACTCTGCTCAACATGTCAATTCTAAACGCAGATAAAAACGCACTCTCGATTAAAAAACTCATTAGTACAGGGTCTGAGATCAATTGTCATTCTCAACCAAAATGAAAATGAGAATAAAAAGGGTTATAGGTATAATATGCCCCTCTACTATGACGTTTTATCAAACATGCCTCTCTATTATTTTTTACATCAAACATGCCCTAGTACTTTGATAAAGTTATCAAACTTGCCCTTTTGCTAAAATTTTCATTGAAAAAAATTATCAGTCATGGTTGAACCAAGATTTAGATGACCCGACATCGGCAAATGGGAGCGAAAATATCAGTTTTATCCCCCGTTTTATTTCTCTGGGTCTCTTCAAAGTCAAATTATTTGAATTAATTGGCTACACAAAAGAACAAAAAAAATTATAAAGTGAAATTATTAGGGATATTTTAGACATTTGTGTCGCCCAAACCAAAGTTCGGCGTTGGTTAACGGTTTTTTGATGAAATTTTTAACAAAAGTGCATGTTTGTTAATTTTTACAAAGTACAAGGGCATGTTTGATGTAAAAAATAGTAAAGGGGCATGTTTGATAAAACATCATAGTAGAGGGACATATTATACCTATAACCCAAATAAAAACTATCAAAGTGGACAAAACTCACTCTCAATCCAAAACTCATCAATACCGTGATTAGGTCGCTTTAACCGGGTCGAATTGAGTTCTTAATAAATTCACACTCGACTCAACCTGCCAAATACAAATCCAGATAAAACTCGCTCTCGATACAAAACTCGCCAATACCATGGGTTTGGATTCAATTCGCTTTGACTTGGTTGAATTAGGTTGGATACCCATGAGTTTGAGTTCAATTTTAATGCTTAACCAAAAGGGAAAAGAGAAATAAGAAAACATCATTGAATATGAAACTCGATCTCAATATAAAACTCGGCAACACATAACAGATTTAGTATGAATTTTCAGTAACGATCTTGGAAAACGGTGAATGTGTGAGAGGCACTAAAACATTGACAATGATCACTAAAATATCCTCTAGCTGGTACTGAACCACCCAAGTTTAAAGGGCTTTTGTCATGGTATTTTGTTGGCAAGCATTGGATCAAGCAAAACCAGAATCAGAAGAAAAACATAATCTCTGAACAATTGATTGTTGAAAAGGCTGGTAGGTTTTTGTTAACTAATATGAACTACGAATTGATAGTATCAAACTAATACACTTTTTTTTCTCTTTTATGTCTGGATGTGTTTGGGTTTTAATTGCGTCATTCTCAACAAAAAGAGAGAGAGAGAAAACACTAAATAGGATGAAAATCATCCCCGATACAAAACTCGTGGTTGTGAAATGGGGAACAACTTAGGATTTCACCGATAGTATTTCGAGATGGGTTGCGAAATGGTGGCAAATGCAATGATTTATGCAAAAAGTCATAGTCGAAAACCTAGTGGATAGTTGCTGCAATAGGGAGCTGAAAACCTAGTAGACAATAATTGTTATGGGAAACACAATGGACAATAGATGTAAACCTAGCGAACAATAGCTAAACACAAAGGTTGTAGAATGGAGAGTGGGATAAAAGAATGACTTGGAACTTCCCCACTTGCACTTGGAGGAGTGTGAGACCCATTAATGAATAATAACTCCAACATGATCATTGAAAAGGTGGTAGGTTGTGTTTGGGTTGGGTATAAGCAAGGTTGTCAACCCGGTTTAGCCAGTTGGTTCGATAAAGTAAATGGGCTGAGGATTTTTAGTCTAACTGTTTTAGTCCGTTTTAGTATGAAAAAAGTCATTATATTTTTCATACATTTATAAATTATATAAAATATAATCTAATATATGAGTAATAACACGTATCACTACACCAAAATAACATATGTAACATCAATATTCAAATGTTCAACTTAAAATTCCACTGATAGAGTTAGACGAAGAGGAAAACTGAAAAGAGACGCATTTCGCAAAAGAAAGGAAAAAACGACGTCATGTGACCTCCAGCCCAGTAACCTTGGAGCGGGTCGACCCGACAGGTGTGTGGCCAGTTTTTCTCAGAGAGTCAGGTCAAAATGGGTTGACCACCTTGGGTATACGTGCCATATAAATTGAAGCTCAATTACACTTGTAGTCACTTAAATTATCATATATTTCTTGTTAACCATTCCTTTTTTCTTATATGTCACCGACTTTACCCTTTATTTCACTGATGATCACTTGCCGTCCAACTCTTCAAGTTCATCCTACATCGCCTTCAACTATGATATATGACCGTTAAGTTGCTCACGTGTTAAAAATAAAATAAAAATCACAAAAAATCTTTATCTACTCCTCGCTATGGCCAATCCAACCTCAACTTGGCTACTCTCGTCGCCGCTCTTACAAAGCTACCATTCAAACCTCCATACTGTCCCGGTTTTGGTGATGCATATGGAAACATGTCCTTATTCTAGACTTAATCAGTATTCCATCCAACATTACTTGAGTTTCCATAGATATGTAGGCAATGTTTTGTCCCGCCGTTATCCACTAAATCTCTGTAAGGTCAGCTTTCTAGACCGCGAGCTTAGGTCGGAAGGAAGAGATGATTCTCTGGTGATTAGGGTCATACGATATGCCTTGTACCATGATGCTCAACGGTTGTTGATTGTGAGTCTAAATGACCATTTTTTTTTTTTTTGAAAGATAAGTCTAAATGACCTGACGACCCCTAACACTTACAGATTCTCCAATCTGTTTCGCTCGATCTCA